AAAAAAAAAAAAAAAAACCAGTGGAAAAAAGGGAATAGAAGTAAATACTGACAACCAATGGTGTCTGAAGGGGACTGTAATCAAAATAACAAAACAAAATTTGTTGAATTTCACATTCAACTAATGATCTGCCCTGAAATTATCACTCAATTCACAATCAAAGCTTAAAAAAAAAAAAAAAAAGAAAGAAACCAGTGGGAGAAACGGTATTCTGTTTAAAAGTTAACTGCAAAATTTCTCTTAATGCAAAAGAGCTACAATTTCAAATACAAATAGTACCAACTGAACATGCCAAGTGTCTAGTTAAGTTTTAAAACAATCCTTTGAGGTAGGTACCTGAAAAAAGGGAGACCCTAGTAACACACTTTAAGAAATATTGGCATAGGCTTGGATTCAAGATATCTGGTTTAGAGTCTTAGATGTGTGGCTTTTGGTAAGTTACTTAAACTCTTTAAAAGCCCGTTTTCTTCTGTGTAAAACAGAGGTGAAATTTCTTACCTTATAAGGCTAATAAAAGGAGCTCTGGTAGCGTAGTGGTCACGCATCGGGCTGCGAACCGCAAGGTCAGCAGTTCGAAACGACCAGTGGTTCTACAGGAGAAAGATGAGGCTTTCTGCTTCCGTAAAGATTTACAGCCTCGGAAACCCTGTACAGGGTCGCTATGAGTCGGAACCAACTCCACAGAACATAATGTGAGAATGAAAGTGGACGGCTGAGAGTAGGGCTCAGAGCAAGAATCGCCGCTTCAGGCATAAGAGCTTGCTCTGAGACCTGCTTCAGGCCGGGGCCATAAGGACAAACAGGCATGGCTAGGCAAGTCCCCAACAGAATGTCTCAAGAGACACAAATGCAGGGTAAAGAGCACACTCATAAAACTGTCACAGTTGAAGACTCACAGGCCAGGTGGCAGGAACAGGTAACAGATAAGATGAGGCCGGTAGGACTGGAAAAAGTCTTAGTACTATAGGTCACTTATGTGATGTTATGTTTAAATCTATTGGATCCTGCGGTTTCTGAATGCTCCATTGGGTAAAAGTTGTAATCCTAGTTTGCATATCCCCCTCCCATGGTGTGTCCCAAAACCCTATATAAGGTACGGTTTGTGAACTGCTTGGGGTCGAGCTTTGGTGAGCTGATGCAGTAACACTGCTGTAACACTGCTGAACACTACACTGCCAGCCGCCACTCGACCCTAGCATGCTAGCTTGAATAAAGCCCACCTGCTTTTGCATTATCTTTGTCTCTTGGTCTCCTTATTGGGTGATGGTCTCGGACCCTAACAATAACAACAACAACAAGGCTAATAAAAGATGAAAGAGATGGCACTTAGGAAGAGTACATAGTAAAACCAAAAGCTGGCTTAAATTAACCACTCAGTTTGGTTTTGGTAAAGAGTACTTGTTTTCCACACAACTAAGAGATAAATGAAACAGACTATTTCCTAGTTAGAAATCTATGATATTACACTTTAGAAAGAACATTTCCACCTGAATCATCTCTCAGCCAGAAAACATACAATCATTACACTACTTTAAGTGAAATATAATTTTTTAATTCTTACGGTCTTATTTTCTTTCCCAGTGTCTTCTGTTGTAAAAATCAATTGTTTATTAATTTCATCCATACTAATTAGTGATCGTGTTTTAATGAAGTGTTGAAAAGAGACAGCCTCCACATATTCCTGCAGTCCTGAAAAACCAAGAAAATCACCAAGTTAAAATGGCATAGTAAGAAAGTTTCAAATTTATCATCACCTAACTCAACAAATTGCAGTTAACAACACAACTCAACAAAGAGGGCTGCTGGGTGGTATAAGTGGTTTGCATACAAATTCTAACCGAATCCTGGCAGTGTGAACCCACCCAGTTACACTGTAGAAGAAAGGCCTGGTGATCTGCTTCCACAAAGGTGAAAACTCACTGCCAGGAAACAGAGTCCCACTCATGGTGAGCTATCGCTCCTGAGCAGAACTGCTCCACACAGTTTTCCTGGTTGCAATATTTATAGCAATGTATCTCCAGACCTTTCTCCCCCTGGACCGCTGGGTGGGTTCAAATCATCAACCTTTAGGTTAGTAGGCTGTTTGCGCCACCTAGGGACAGTCAAGAAAATCTCAGTAACTCATCAGGGTTTCCAGGAGTCAAATCCACTTCCTGGCAACAGGTTTGGTGTTGTTTGCTTAAATTCAGCAAAAGTTTTAACTGTTCTGTGTGGTGCTGTAGAATAAGCACCAAACTGCTAATCACAAATCTACTGTAAGAAACACTCCTCAGGTCCCCTGGACTCAATCAGGCACTTAACAAGGAATTACAATGCAGGCACTTCTTTGGAAAACAAAGAACCACCTGTGGGATTTTAGGGATTAACACTGAAAGCCACAAATATTCCAGTAAGGGGGCTGTATGGATTCCAAACATTAAAGCATTAAAAGTTTCTTCTATTTCATGAGTAATTAGTTTTGAAAACCTACTGTTTCCCATAGAGAAATGTCAAAAAATTTTAGAAAAAATCTAAAAAGGAATTTTATAATTTTAAGCATTTTAAAACTCTGAAATTAAAGGCTCTTCCAGAAATTTTGACAGGCTTTGATAAGTAAAAACTACCCTTAATCATTTTTTTCTTCCTTAAGCTGCAAAGCAGAACACTGATGCAATCAAATTATATATAAAAGGAATTTAGATCATTCTTAAATTGGAATACTAAAAAGTTTGAATGCAGATAAAAATGCTAAAATACCTAATTTATATTGTTCTTCCTCTCACATTTCACATTTCATAACGACCCTAAGATTAATGATAGAAAACTCCTTTGTGCCTTAGCAATTTATTATTTTCTTTAAATAAAAAGTGAACAATACAACTTGAATTTGATGAAAACTCTTAAAGCATTCATTTAAAATGTAAAGTAATTTGTGGTAAAGGTCAAACTAACTCTATAGATACTTTTCAAAGTTCTTTAAAAGACTAATTTCTCTGGTCACAGTCTTCATCATCATTTGACTATTATTTTATTTTACCTTAATCTACAAGGAGCTCTGGTAGCATAGTGGCTACAAATCGGGCTGCGAACCGCAAGGTCAGCAGTTCGAAACTACCAGCTGTTCCGCAGGAGAAAAATGAGGCTTTCTGCTCCCAAAAAGATTTACAGCCTTGGAAACCCTGTACAGGGTCACTATGAGTCGGAATCGACTCCATGGCACATAACAACAACAACAAGGTGATATAGAGAAAAGGTATTTCATAAAACGAATAGCATTATCACCAGGTTAAGAAACTGTCTTAGTGTTTCTAAAAAGTTTATTGTAAAAATAGAAGAAAAAAAGAAAATTTAATTATGGAACTTAATAGAGACACCAGTACTTAAGATGTCGCTAAAACTCTAGAGAATCCTGCTATTTGTAGATACAATCACTTTCACTTATTAAATGACATTAAAAATCAGTTTGTTAGTAAAGTTGGGAAAGTTGTTAAGTTTTGGTATCATCATATATATATATATATATGATAAGGCTTTAAAAGTTTGTGGAAAACTGCATTTTTTAGATAAAATTTTATTATATAAAACAGAATGAAATTTTTTAAGGAACTTTTTGAAGTCCCCCTCATACAAAAGATCAAAAGTACAAGGAAAATAAATGACCTGGTTTTGACAGCAAGAAACTTAACTAAATGAAAATATCCTGGTTCATTTTTTTAAATTGTGGTATACAGAGATTCTACAATATATATAACATACGCATATTTTAAAAAAGTTGTCGTACACATAGACTATACAAAAAATATAACAAAACATAGTTCAATTCAACAATTAAATTCAATTACTCCAGGCAACCACCAACACTCTTTGGATTTTTACCTACAAGCAGTCCCCCCAGGTTCCAAAAGTATGAATAGTTACAAACCAACCCCATAAAACCTATTATATTAAAAATTCAACACATAGTGGTTCACAATAACAAATGGGGCACAACTGTGACATGCATCAAAACAATATTATTACTGGATGGTAATGTTAAAGATGTTTTAGTGTTACATGGAAGTTTAATATTTTTATGCATATAAAGGTACACTACAAACTATGTGCTAAGACAAACATTTGACAAATGAATGTCAGCTATAATTCACAGCTAACTGTATAAATTCACCTTACAGTCAGACTTAGGAACAGAACTAGTTTGTAATTCTGTTTGCAGTCCTGCCTTCATTTAATCGATAGATACTGAGGATTAAAATTGTGGGGTCTGATGAAAGCTCTAGTTTCAACTCTGAGAAGAAATATCAGTATGTTTTATGAAGGACTTTGCGCAGGATCAACAGAATGGCACTGCAACTACCCCAAATGACACTGAATGGGCTGGCTTGAGCTTCTGATCTCCCGGGAAGCTTGGGTCTTTGTTACACCTGGAGACCCTTCCCCCCTGAAATTCCAGGTTTCAGGAAAATCTCCATACCCCTGCCCAAATCCTTCTGATATTCTCTGCTTTCAGCCAAGATCCATCGGACATCAGCAATGATATCTCTCGTTCCACGGCCTCTTCTGAATCCAGCTT